TAATATGTTTTGTTAAACTGTTTTCTCGTATTAATCTTAATATAATTTTGATTTTTTTTAAAACTCAAAACGAAAGAATTTCACTCTGTCAAAAACGGAAAGTCTTTTTAGCGTAGTGTTATTTACCAGTTTAAAACTGCCCTCATTTAATAATTGAGTTACTGCTCACAGATGCTGTGTAAGTCTACAGAAAGTACAGTAGAAAGTATTTGGATAGTTTTAATTTTGTTAGTATTTTTTATGGACACTGTAGTTTGAAATATGCACAAAAATGTGCTTTTTTGGTCGAAAGTGATTTAAAAAAATAGCTTCTAAACCATGCTTCTGTTTCCTGTCAAAATTGGTTTATGGGTACATCTGTTTACTACGAAGAAAGCGCCGTCTTGTAAACTGTCTACCAGTTGTCAATTTTGCAGGGCAGAAACTCAAATTTCCCTACTTCAAGTTTATGCATAAATTAACACCCAGGCTCGTTGTCTGTACGATTGTTGTAACACTGTTCAACCAAAAACAATGCCCCGACGGCGTTTTGAAGATAAACACATTGTCAATCATTTGTGAAAATTTCAAAACAAAAGGTCAAAGCGTCTAGGAGCTATTATTTTAAAGTTCTGGGATGTGCATTAAAAAGAAGCTGAGATAATTGCTTGAGATAGTTCCAAATTTAAATGTATTATCGTTTTGTTAAAAATTAAATATAGTGCATAATATGGAGATCCAGTCATTCCCTTTTTTCACCATGCTTCTTTTTGATTATTTATGTACAGGCTAAATCTTGCTATAAAGCATTCAAAAGAGATAATGTTTGCACCTGTTATCTTTTTAACATCGTTTTTTGAGTATGTTCCACTATTCACAATTCTACAAAATGTTAACAGTCTATAGCCAAGACTGTTTGGATAATAAAAAGCAAAAAAACTTGCATCTCTACTTTAAATAGACCAAGACGCCTACTCACTGTTTAGGTATCAGCACAAAGGGTTGCTTAGTTTTTCTATTTATAAGACGGGGTTTTATCGCCAATCTCACATTCATCAAATGATGTAAATTAATACCAAAGACATAGAAGCCTACTCTCCACAGTGGAGTGGTCAGGCTCACAAGTCTGTTTATATATTCTCATAACATGATAAACAGTGATGCATCATGGCTCACATAGAAAATACAAGTTCTTTTTATACGAGCTAGCACAGGGAGCCCAGTAACTATAATCAACTGTAATAATATGAGGGGGGGGGTATCGGCTGGTATGTAGTGTAAGAAATAGACAAGGGATGAAGGGTCCAGCCAGCTCACATTTTTTAAACTCGAAAAAACAGACGAAAAGAATGAAAAATATAATATAAAAAAAATACCAGGTTGAAGAATATTAGTTGCTCCTTTGAATTTCGCCAAAGCCTTACCTACATTTTACCGATATCTGCAGAATAAATCAAGAAAACTACACAAATTGACTCTATTTAGGAATTCCTAACGGTTAGTTCAAACGCATGACACCGTTGGAGGCGTGGCCTGTTCAGCATTTGTCAACTACCAATCACAAGACTGGTTACGAACCAGTTGAGCAAGGCTAACCGAGTCGTGACCTCGATGTGGTCAAAAATACAATTTCCTATCAGAATTAGAATAGTCTATCTGATTAATAGTTGGCTTATCTTGTTGATTTCTTGTATTACTTGAACAGTCAGTACCAAATATTCAGACAAAATGAGTAATAGTCTTCAGCACAGTGATGTCTGCAAACAAAATAGCTTTGCAGCTCATTACCTATGGTAGTCTTGTCCAAATACTCCACACTTGTCAAGACTATTTTTTAACAACTACTCACTGATGATGTATCAGTCTACCAATTTAAAATTATTTGAATTGATAAAGAACAACTCAGGGACTCAGTTCTTTTGTATCATATTTACTCAAATGTTTTTGAAATACACTGTACATTAAAGCGCGGTGGTTGTCGCGCAGCCGTGTTCATTGTATACGTTGCTATGAGTCCCATATCAAACAGGACACGGCACGACGACTGCCGTCCTTTAACATAGTAACTGAAGTAAGCCTTATCCTTTTATTTAATTTGACAAGCTGTTTTTACAGTGTTTACAATAAATTAGACAGAGCCTCTTTTATGCTTTAGTTGCCTTTTCATCCTTTTCCACAGCTGACATCATATCATCCAGTTCCTCGTAACTCATTTGAAGGTCATCAAACTCAACTTCCTCTTCTTTTATATTTCGCGGAGTCAGTTGAGAAGCCTGAGTAGACCTCCGAGAAAATGGAGTACTTTTGTGGCTCCAAGACATTTGGGAACTCTGACTCGATGACATGGAAGCTGAGATTAAACAAAAATAAAATAAATGCCATTATTAGGGTTGCAGATGGTGCCAGCCATCTCCATTTTGAGCACGGCTGGCTTGCAAGTCAAATTATTACAAATGCAATAATTTTACAATAAAGATGATCAGACAAAAAGCTTGTGCCCCTATAAAGATAAATTGTGTGGTACATTTAATTTTTATTTTGGACGACCGTTCATAATTCATCTTCATCATTTTTCAATGGCAAAATGATATTGTTTTTGTTATTTCAATCAACTCAGACTTTGTATTTTGAAACGGTTCAACCAATATCCCAAAACCCCCCAAAAAATACATTACAATTTTTTTACAAGCAGTGAATCTGTAGAGCTAATGCACAATACAGTCATAGTGCATTTTTGAAAAGATTTCCTTGCAAATGCGCACATATTATATAAACATGACATTTCTAGTGGCAAAAATTAACAGTAAGTATTTAATATACCTTTGCTTTCTGCACTTGGATTTAAAATTTTCTGACTTTCATCAAAATACTGATTTGGATGATTAATACCAATTGTTGATGCTTCAACCTGTATAAAGAGTGAACACAGTGTACATTACAAAGAGTGAACACAGTGTACATTACAAAGAGTGAACACAGTGTACATTACAAAGAGTGAACACAATGAACAATGTACATTACAAGGAATAAACACCGCACAGAGCACAATACAAGGAATAAATATATTATATGAAATAAACACCACACAGAACACATTGTGCAGATTAAACACCAGACAGAGCACATTACAAGCAGTAAACACCATAATAAACATATTATATGGAATAAACACCACACAGAACACATTACGCAGAATAAACACCAGACAGAGCACAAAGTCTTACTGAACACATTGAACACTAAGTTGATTATTGCATGTAACATAAGA